AGTACCGATAATGGTGGTTGCAAGAACATCATCAAAACATAAGGGCTAACAGACTACGTTCATATTATGAAGAGAGTGGCATATGCATACACAATGCATGCTTATCATAATGAATGCAACGAGCTCCAGAGTAAATCATCTGTTGTTTTCATTGAAATGTTGAATATGAATCCACAAAACTGGGCAAACTGTTATTTTCTAGAAAGAGGTCACAATTTTTACATATTTTTAGGCTTTTTGATTGAATTATCTGATATGTGTGTTTGAACTTGTATGCATTTTAATATTCCTATAGCTATAACATGGTTGCAGGTAGAGGTGGTTAACATTTAATCTTGCTGAGTCATTCAACACATGGATAAAGGAAGCCCGATTTTTACCAATAGCACAATTAGTTGATCACATCCGGGTGAAGATGATGAAAATGAGCTATGATAGACGTGAGGAATCCAACAAATGGACCATGCCACTTGTTCCTAGTGTAGAGGAGCATCTTGTCCTAATCAATGAGGGAGCATGTTGTCTTCATGTTAATCCTTCTATGTCGGTTCTGTATGAAATTATGATTCCCCTCTATTAAAGTGAATTTGGAGAACCGTACGTGTACTTGTCACTAATAGCAGGTTCATGGACTCCCTTGCAAACATGCGGCTACCGTAATTAGGCATAGAGATCAACTACTGTATCCCAATATTTTCGATTATTTTGGCATGAAGGTGTACCACAAGTGCTACTCCTTTCCTATATATCAAGTTCCTAATGATGACAAGCCAATTATAACGGAGGAGAATATGGACATTGGACCTCCATTGACCTCGGCTAGTAGAGGAAGGCAAAAAACAAAACAGATCCCTTTTGGATTAAATACTTCTAGAATGTTGAAGTGTAGCCGATGTAATAAGTACGGTCATAATCGACAAACATGTAACCAACCAATAGCTGATTAAAATATCATGCTTTTTAAATATTGTCAAATCAGTTTGATTATGATCTTCATGGACTTATTTTGGTTGATTATGTTTTGGTGGTGAAAATAAAAAACAAACTATTTTGGTTATTCTAAATTTGTGTAATTGTTTTAGTTAGTTTTAGTGTTATTTCTGTTTGCTATACATTGCTCGAAACCTTTCATGTTGTCTTATCTACGTTTTCAAAGACAATACATTCTAAATTTTTAAAGACCATAAAGAACTATACTTTATCAATAAACAACTATACTATGATCATAAAGAGCTATACTTTGACATAAAGAACTATACTTTGATAATAAGGCGCTACACTGTTGGCCTTCTTGTTTTGATGATGTTTAACAAACAATTTACTTCTAATGTTGTTTGTCTAGTATTTGTGTTTTCTTATTTATTATAGACAAACAACGTTGTTGGAGGATGGATGGATTGAGCCTACACGATCATATCAAGAGGAGGTTGGCGGAATAGTGGAGTGAAGCAATGCACATTCAAGTCAAGATCCAAGTTCAGGCTTCATCCGCAAGATTACCAAGAAGAGCTTCATCAAAGATCAAGATAGCTTGGGTAATTTAGTTTAGGATTTATATTATGTGTGTTAAGTACTCTAAGCTCAATTATCTATACACACACATTTATTGGTTTCTTCGTATATATATATATATATATATATATAATCATATATTTCATATTTACTATTGTGTTTTTTGAAAACATTGCATAGAATATGCAATTTTGTGAAAATTCTGTATTCTTAGTTTTTGGACTTAACAATAATCATATACATATTTTATTAAGTCTATATAATCATTGTGCAAAGTTTCAAAACATGGTTTAGCCAAAATGTCAAAATTCACATGTTTACATTTTCGTGTTTTGAACTATTTTGCAAAATGATGATTTTTCACAAACGGGAAATGCAATTTGGAAAATTCTTTTTGTAACATGTTCATTTACATGCTTATATATATTTCCCAAAGTTTCATTATTTTTGGACTTCATTTGTTATTTTTAACATATTTTCAAAAGTCTCAAAATCAGCTTTAAAAACCTGTTTTCTGTTGTATCAGATTTCGGTCGACCGCACCGGTCGACCGCTCAATTGTTCATTTGTTTCTGGGCAGCAGAGAGTTTGTCGGTCGACCGCACCGGTCGACCGAGAGCTCAATATTTTCCATCGGTCGACCGGTGCGGTCGACCCGTTTTTTTTTTTTGCTCGCGGTCGACCGACGCGGTCGACCGCCGAACAAATGATTACATTCCAACGGCTATTTTCAGAGCCGTTGCAGAATGTTATTTTGGTCTTTTTCTTGGCTTTCTCTCTCCTTTGGGGTTTCATATATATACCCCCTTACCTCAGTTTGTGCAAAATATAGCTAAGAGAATGGTTTAAAAGATTTTAACAAGAGTTTAAGCTTTTTTTAAGCTTGTTTAAGGGTTTGGTTTAAAACTGTTTTGGTTTTCACAAGTGGAGGAGATTATCTTCTTGTTTGGGCTTCAATCTCCATCTCTCCATCTTGTCTTCTATTGAGAAGTTTTCTAAACTCTACTCTAGCTTTTATTTATAATTATTTGTTGATTATCATTTCTATTAAAGCTAGTTTTATATTGAGTTTAGATTTGATTTTATCTCATTGTTACACACACCCACTTGAGCTTATTGTATTTGCATTCATAATATAGTTGGGTTGGTGAGAGTTGTAACATTGAGTGTGAGCTTTCATTGTGTTCTCATCCATAGTTGAGAACAATCATTTATTATATTGAGCCTTATTGTGAGATTCACTTTGTAATACACTTGTACACCGAGAGGAGTGTGTGGTGAGAGTCGGGGATCGTTCCAAGAGAAGTAGCGTCGGTTGACGAGCCTAGGGAGAGGTTGTAACCGAGCACTTGAGGGAGACACGGCTAGGTCCAACACTTGTGAGGGTGTAGAGTGTGATTGCAAGAGTGTCGATTGTAAAGTTTTCGGTTAGCTAGAAAGTCGAGTGTGAGGTGTAAACGTTATTCGGGTGAACATAGAAAACCCGGTTGTCATAGTGGATTTCTCCCCGGGAGTGGGGAGCGGAGACGTAGGACGGAAGGTCCGAACTCCGTGATCATATTGCTTGTTTGAGTTTGGCTTAGCACTTATAATTGTTCATCTTTATAGCCTTTCTCTCATTGTTTATTTCATCCACTATTTCATTTGTTTATGTTACCCTTGTGTTTGCATATCCTTACATATATCATATTGTATATCTCTTTGATAGGATATATAATCTTGTGTTAGTTTATATATCCTTGCATATACATATTCATCATATAGGATATATCTCATTGTTCATATTGCTTATCCTAGCTTATACAGTTGTTATATTTCATACTTGCTAGGATAACTTGTTAATTAATTTTAATTGGCATTTAATCGGATTAGATTAGCATAAGACCCTAATCACCCCCCCTCTAGGGTCTAACATACACTTCACTATAAAGAGCTATACTTTCTCAAAAATTAAAAAAAATGAGATTGGACCTGTCGGTTACATGAAGAAGTGATCAAACAACACATTTTACACATCATCACACCTTGACATTGCTCAGAAAAAACTAAATTTGATTTATCCCACTAAGTTTTAGAATTTTCAGAGACCATAGAGAGCTATACTTTATCAATAAAGAGCTATATTATAATCATAAAGAGCTATACTTTGACGTAAATAGCTATACTTTTATAATAAGTTAACTACATTTTACTATAAAGAGCTATATTTTCCCAAAAATTAAAAAAAATGAGTTTGGACCCGTCGTTTACATAATGAACTGGTCAAACAACACATTGTAATCATCGTCACACCTTTACATTGCTCAGAAAAAACTGAATTGATTAATACTACTAAGTTTTAAAATTTTTAGAGACCATAGAGAGCTATACTTTATCAATAAACAACTATAATATGGTCATAAAAAACTATACTTTCATAATAAGGTGCTACACTTTACTATAAAGAGCTATATTTTCCCAAAAATAAGAAACTTGAGAGTGGATTCGTCGGTTACATGAAGAACCGATCAAACAACACATTTTCAGCTTAGTTTTCGATCCATTATAGACACTAATAAGTAATAAAATAATGTTAGGGGCACACCCCCTTAACACACCACCTACCACACCCCCCTCTCCCATCGCTACAATAAACCGGGCCCCACATGGGATTTTAAAATTTTTAAAATCTCATGTGGGGCCCGGTTTACTATAGCGATGGGAGAGGGGGGTGTGGTTGATGGTGTGGTAAGGGGTGTGCCCCTAACACTACTCTAAGTAATAACACTTATCGACAATGTAACATCATTACATTCTCAGCCTTTTTTAAATTTTTTTATGATTTATCACCTAGCAATATATCCTGTCAAGGTACTATCTGCTTCTAAAGAGGAAAACATGAATTCCTAACGACATAATTAAATCTATTACCCTTTAAAAGAGGGAGATCATGAAAAACTTTACCCTCCCCAAAATAACCTTCCACCAAATTTAGTTACGAAACGTATCCTCAATTGATAAGTCACTTTACTCTTTTTCATCGGTTTCGCCCGTATTCCTCCTCCTTTCAATTCATCAGTTACGCCCTAATCCTTACACTTCATCGGTTACGTCGTCTCCTCCGCTCTCTAATGGCGTCCAAAGCAACCTCAATCTCAATATCAGCGAGCGACAACCCCAACCCCTCATCTCTCTCCATCTATCTTGGCCTCTCCTTCGCCGTCTTCTTAGGCTTCCTCCCCAAATCCTCCATCCCCTACCTCTCCTCTCTCCAATCCCCCAACCGAATCCTCAGCCTCAAGCTCTTCCAGGCTAAGAACCAGCTAAAAACCCTAAGGTCGAGGAGGAAGGAGGATTCCAAGGCCAACGCCCGCGTCGTCGAGATCTTCGCCAGCCACCGCCACGCGTGGCAGCAGGAGGAGCGGCGGCTTTTGGATCAGATCGAGTCGACGAACGAGGAGATCGAGGGGTTGAGGGGGAGGGTCGGGGAGCTCAAGATAGAGGTGAGGGAGAGGGACGAGAGATGAGCAATACAACTTGCCACTAGATAGAAAGAAAGATCATGAACAAGAATAAGCAAAAGGGACAATAAGAGGAAGCTTAATAGACCCATTTATTGTCCTATGTAGACAAGACAAGTAAATTGGTTAAATGTTGGTACAGAATCTTGTCATGTCGAGCTTATATATGTGAACAAGTAGGGGGATGTTTGTTTTGAGCATGAAAGAGAGTTTGAAGCAATATATGACTCATAGTTTATGTAGTGAGAAGGAGATTGAGACGAAAAGTTTTCCATTGGCCGGTTGCCTACCTACATCTGACAATTCTCATGTCAGCTAGAATTACATAAAAAAGAATGATACTTTCAAAATAAGTTTTTTAAAAAAGAATGATTATCATGTCCGTGAAGATCTAATGCATGCTAAGGCAGATAAAAAGTTCTTCTTTAGTAGACATTCTTACTGTTCCTCTACACCTTAACAATGCATTAGTAAGAAAAGCTTAAAGTATGCTTATTATCTCTCTATCTGCAAAAAATTTCAAACCTGCAATCTTTCCAATCAGAGCCTGACAAACCAAAGCCTAAATTATGTTTATCATATTCTGTTGCTAACACTTATAAGTCATAGTTTATTAACACAGATCTTAGTTTCCTGAACTTTTGAATAGCCAATCACTTTTTTATATTTCCTTTGAACTTAGTTTACCTATTGAACTGTAAGAGGTAGTACAGAAGTTATGCTAGCATTGACTAATGACAATATTTTTGTGTCAACTCATATATAACTCTAACTAATACCTGCATGATTGACACATAGTTAGTGGCCATGGTAGAGTTCTGAATAACACTGTTCTTTTAGTGTTAGACTTTGATACTGATGCAAATTTCTTTTATTGATTTCAGGTACGAGTTTACTGTTTTTAATGAGTTAGTTGCTGGAAGAACAGTCTGGACAGGTATTATTTATCGAAGCATGTATGCATTTTAAGCTTAGCTTCTTATTGGCTCTCCCTATAGTCTATATTTCCCCCTGTTCTTGAAAGATTTTCCTTAACATTTCATGTTTGTTTTACTACAGTACCACCTAATGAGGTGCAGGCTTTGTTGGTTTTTGATGGTACTTTACTGTGGGTTTTTAGCTATATATTCATAGGCATTTCATGTTGCTTCTTGCTTTAGGGAAATCCATGGAATTTTGACATCTTGGTTATTCTTAGTGCATCCTGGCCTTGTTTATGAGTTTTATGTAAACTTTACCCTTGCTATTTTTTATAATACTTGCTTGATGCGTTCCCTCCATATTTTTAATGATCAATTGTTGTGGTTCTTACCTAATGCAGATGGTGAAGCTCCTGCTTTTGACGAGAGCCTAAAAGTTTGGATCTTTTTGACAAAAAATGTTGAATTTAAGTGAGAGTTTTAAATCGTGTACATAGCACACTTCTCCTTGCTGCAGTTATGCTTGTTTCTCATTAATATTTCAATGTGGTTGTTCCTAGAAGTGTTTATGTTTACACTCGGTTCTCCTTATATGTTTTTCTCTATCTATTGTGTTCTGCTGTACACTTTTTATTATGGATTCATGATTTATTTGCTAAATGGTGATGTAGGTGTGCCATGAGAAATTGCTATAGTTTGTTGAAAGATCATGAAACTACACTGAAAAATTTTCTGCGTGTGTAGGGTGAAAATTTGATTCTTCCGAAGAAAGGAGTTTCGTTTGTATTTATAAGAAAGCTTATTACAAACTAACAAATCAAATGTTTACAACAGAAACAGAGGGAAGGCCCTCTTTGTTTTAGTGTGGGGACTTTAGGTGGCTATAGGACGCTTCGCTCGATGCTCGGGTCGAGTCTGCTTCCCTTGGACCGTTTGAATGAGGTTGCTGGAGAGCTTCAGTTCGCAGTAGAAGCTCGGGGCAATGGAGTTCGGGTCTGCTTGGTTCGTCGGCGATCGGAGCCCGGAACTAGGCAGAAGTGCTGTAATGCAAGGATTTGCTAACAGCTTGGTCTCAACTCTTTTTCCTCCAAGTTTTGCGACCTCCCTTCCATCGTGCTGGAAGGGGTTTTTAAATGAAAGAAGGACAGCTTGACTTCTCCTTGAATTGTGGGATGTGACCACATCCTCTTCAGAGACGTCTCGCCGTTCCTCGATACCATGAATGGTCATTCCAGGGATTGTGTTCTATGTCCTGTCACCTACGATGGGAAGGCCCATTCTAGTATGTGAGGCAACAACCGACTGCTATCCGAGTGAATTTGACCAGCATTAATGAACCGCATTTATGAGTTCGCAGATCGATGAAGTGTCTGTCCGATCACTTGTACTGTGCGTGACCGCCCGGCGTGCTTTGAGCACGATGCTTTCTCCTTTCCGGCCAGGAGAGGCGGTGAAGTAGGTACACAGTACTCGAGTGGGTCTAGCCAGCTTGCCGAGTGCCGGCGGATCCAGCTCTTGGCTCAGACAGCCGAGGTGAGTCGCATTTATGAATGCTCAGGTTGACTCGACACCTGTCCAGTCCCTTCGCGCTGTGCGCACTGCGAGCGGCCGTTTGACGGTCCTGGGGTACTGTGCTCTCTCTCCCTTCGGGTCGAGAGAGATGGGAAGGTCCATCTCAGCACGTGGGGTAGTGGATACCCAGCTGTACTGACGGTTTTGGGGCTTGCTGGCGGATTCGACTCCGAACTCGGGCAGGCGAGTTGAGCGAAGAGCGAATTTCCGCCATCCTGATCGACCCTGACTCATGCTGGCGAGTCGACCGTTAGGCGAACCTGGACTTGAGTACAGTCGACGTCTACGCGGTTTAGGTCCGTGCCAGAGAACTGGGCGTGCGAACTCTTCTCGTAGGCAAATTTCCTGTAGACCCATAGAGGTATTTTTTACCGTCTACAAGACCCCCTTCAAAGTTTTCAGACCTAAACTGGCTTGCGTGTGGTCTGGAATACTTTGAATGAAGAAATTGTTGGCGAAGCAAGTGCCTTCGATTTCTCTTAGGATTTTTAGCAAATCCTCAGCTATCAACGGGTTTGATGTGCCTTTACCGATTACCGTTTGAATCGGGCTAGCCATACTATTCTCCTCAGTATGATGAGTTGTCGAACAGTTTCTCTTAGGCTTAATGCTAAGATTTCTGCTCTAACCCTTAGCCATCTGGGGCGTGGGTTTCAACCGTTTAAGCAAGGTCATTCTTTTGGCTTTGTTCGTAATTTTACCTTTGAGGGCGAATGCATCGTCAAGGCGAAATTAGTTTTTGAGAGCCAATTTTCGCGCGACTCGTGGGGTTATGCCCAGTATTTGCAGGCGAAACCCTTCCTTTTGTAGGCGGAACCGGATCTGACGGGAGATGAGCCACGTGTCTGCTGATAGAGCCTCGTGCTTCCCAGCTAAGACATTGGATCGTGGCGATCGTGACTTGACAGCACGATCTTCGTGCGTTTCGCCCTGCGACGTATCGTGGCCGTGGTTCTCGGACTCAACCGTCGGATTCAACCGCTAATCTCGGTCCCTTCGATGCACTGAGGGTGATCTGGGCCGTCGAATTTGATCGTGGCCCCGTTTCCTGTCCGTTAGGGTTTTCGCCTTTCGAGGGCAGTCGTGGCCACGTGGACAACTCCGCCCTTCTAAATCAGCCGTTTTCCTCCATTGGGAGTTACCGTGCTTTCAAATCTTGAAAGGGAACATCCAAGGAAAGAATTCCCGCTTCCTCTCACAATGGCTCCGAAATCCAAGAGGTGTAAAGTGAGGGGTGCAGGCCCCGGACGTTACTCCGACCGTCTCTCTGCCGGCATGCCTGCTGGTGCTCTGGAGTCGTGCCCAGGTACGTTGATGGATTCGTTGGGCGATCCCTTGCAGGCCTTAGGCGTCGGATTTAGGGAGATGAGTGTTGCTTATTTCCCCGATTTGGGGCAAAGTTTGCCCTATTTTGCCTTTAGAGGATGAGTACTGTCCCCGCAGGCGAATCCTCCAGTGGGGAGGAGACGAACCCCCTTTTCGTAAGGCGAGTTCGGCCCTTTCCATTAGAGGGGAGTGTAGTCCGTAGGGACAGACCTCGTTCGAAGTGGGTTCCCCCTTTCGATAGGCGATTTCGCCTTCCTATGTTCGATGGGCGATTTCACCTCTACAGCGGATTTTGTCTCAATTGACTTTCTATTTCTTGTTGCAGCGACCTTCCCTGATGAGGCTTTCCCGGAGGGTGTGGCCGTTGGCCACGTCGGGGCTAAGAGCTACACGGCCCCTTCTCGTTTTCCCTCGTTGGCTCCAGTACCCTTGTTCACTGCTGATAAGCTGCATGGTCTGGTACAGAGGGTCACGGATGGTCATCACTTGACCCTGCGCGAGCTGACGACCAATGCGGCGCTGACAGATGAGGCCAGGGCAGAGCTGCCGAAACCTCAATTTCTGTTCGGCGACTCCATGACCGACCCTTCTGCCCTGTTGCTCAAAGAGAGCCGGTGGTTCCGCACGGTAGAGGGGACCCATTATTACCTCCCCAGCATGCCGAGAGGGTTTTCGATTGTTGAGCTGCGGTCCCTCGCGATTCCTCGGACGATGAACTGGGATTTGACCCCCACTCAGGACGGGGTCACTTGTGGCGTCTTTACGGGTTCTACGGCTGGGTATGGAGTGGAGAGCTCATGTAAGCGCGTGACGGGTCTGCGCCCTGGCTTAGTGTCTGCTGAACCGCCCGTGGGGGAATCGACAGCGGTGGCGGAGACTTTCCGTCACCGCTTCTTCCGAGTCGGTGGAAGCTTTCCCCCGAAGGACTTTAGAGCCCCGGGGTGGGTTTACTCTGCGCCTGGCAGCGACACGTGGTGGTCCAAGATTACCGACTATGTTTTGGCCGAGAATGCTGACCTCAAAGGCACAGAGCTGTATGTGGCCCTCGAAGCCACTCGACATGGCCTGCGGATCAACGCTTCTCAATTCCATAGCATTCTGGAATTGTATTGTGCGGAAAGCGGCACATTTTTCACCCCCAACGGTGAACTTGGTATCACCCCCTTCGAGATGCACGACGTGTCAGGGCTACCTCTGGGAGACTTCCCTTATGAGGAATACGTCCCTGATCAAGCTGAGATCGATCAGCTGTCAGACAATTCCCCTCTGGCGGTTGAAACTCTGTGGGAGTTACTCTGTCACTTCCACATATGCCTCAGTACCTTAGGGGCCTCGGATCATAAGGGGAAGAGGAAGAAGACCCCAGGGATTAGCCACAAGAATTGGGCTGATTATCTGTTCCCTGGGAACGATGTCAAGGGGAAGCCCGCTCTCCCGTTAGGCGCGTGCGACCAGCCCGAAGTGGAGGCGAGGACAGCTAAAGAAGGAAGCACCATTACTCTTGACCGCGACGAGGGCGGATTTAAGGCTGGTACGGTCCTTCACTCATTCCATCATCAGGCGAAATTTCTCATTTCGGGGAAAGCGCTGCTCGCGTCGGGGAAGGCGCTGCTCGCGGGGTACCTCATGTTATGGCTGAAGAGGTGCGTAATCCCCACTCATTCCTTCGAGGCTCTTCCTATAGAGGTCGTGTATCCGGCGGTTTGCCTGGCTCACGGGAAGTCTTATTCCCTGGTATCGGCGACGATAGCGTGCATCCATCGGGGGCTCCGTACTCTGACGAGCCAATTCTGCCGTGTGTCGGTCCTCGACGAGGGGGAAGGAGAAGTTATCAGAACCCCCAATCCTAGGGTGGGGCTACCGTATACCTACTTGATGGCATGGTTCGTCTATCACTGCGAATGCTTGATGAGTGCCCCGGCAGCGCTTCAGGGAGACAGGTTTGTCCCCTTTGTCCAGCGTTTGGAGAGGTGCTCCTGGAAGTGCAAGGACATCCCCGATACGAGGAAGACGCTCTCCCACTTCGGGCACTATAATTTTCGTCGATCTTTTCCTTACTTTAGCGGGGGTGGATATGGAGAATCTCTCAGGGATGTGCCGACGGCGGTTCACCACACAATCCTTTCCCGTGGTGCCTTTCGCTGGTTGGTGGACATTCGACCAGGGTATCACGTTCTGAGAACAGGCTCCACATGCTATCTCGAGCCATACATCCCTTGCAGGTTTGCCCGCCAGTTTGGGTATGATCAATTGTATGTGGGCAACGCCAACCCTCGCCTACACTTCGAAGGAGGACTGGTTGACGGCGCTCGGGGGTGGTTCTGGACCCATGCTGGAGGTACTCAAGCTCGTTTCGAGTTGCCTGCGAAGGACCGCGATTTACACCACACGCTCTTGTACTGTCGGTGGTATCGGGGTGCTAGTGCTGACCCCGCCAACTTCTGGTTCCAAAGCTCATGTCTGGCGGAACGCGATCGTCCCATCAGGGGCTCTCTCCGTTCTTCAAAGAGAAGGGGCCACCAAACCGCTAGGGAGTTGTTCTCGGAGGATCCAGTGGAGGACTGTGAGAGCTTCGATGCTGGTGGCGAATCTGAGGTTCCCGATGTTCGAGCTCCGGTTCAGAGTCCGACAATCGGACAAATGGGGGCACCTTTGCTATCCCCGAGTAGCTCGCTTCTCTCGAAGCGTCAGCGGGAGGCGGTGGCCGAGAGTTCCAGAGCGGAGGCGGCCAAGAAGGCTCGCTGTGATGGGACAGTCGGGACCATCC